GATGAGGCTATGTAAACACGAAAAAAGTGCTCTATTGCTTAAATCACAAATGCTTTCACTTAATAAGCACCTGAAAACGAGAAGCATGCTTCTCGGGAGCTGCCTAAGAATGATAATCACTTTCTCAAAGTGTCCTTGAGCGAGTTTTGTCATGATTTCCAAGTCTTCGTCTGTTACTCGTGATGTGAATAACATGCCAGCGCTTCCCCACACAAACGGTCGCTGAAGAAGGATCTGGCAAAAGTTTTCATAATCTGAAAAAAGAGTTAAGATAGTTAAAACTGATATATATTCAACTTGATGCCTTCTATTTTGGTCTGCGAAGTTTAAATTTTGGGAAAAGCTTGTAGAAAACACTGCTGAAAATTTCACGCAGGACGCAGAACATTGGGTTCAATTTTAACCTACACAACGAGAGAAAAGAATACCAACTATAAACTACACAAATCACAGAAGTAACGTTTACCATCTACTCCAAGTTGTTTACTGAAATGTTGCATGCGATCCTGGTCATTCAACACGATGGACTTCCACAGTAGGCACAAGGCAACTCTGTCCCTAGAAAAACAAGTTTATTGGATAAACAAAACTTTGCATGATGTTAGCGCTGGTTGGTGAAAGTGTCAAGATCTAGCCCCTTAGACTCTCAACTCTGAATCAAGAGTTCATGGATAGAGAACTGGCCGGGGTCGTAGTGTTGTGTAGTGCAAGATACAGGTGTACCGACTTCTGACAGTTCAGCTCTTAACTCAGAAAGATAAATGGGTGCCGTACTGCCGGGTAGACTAAAAGTATAGTCCCTCACTTGTCTGAGGGCTAGTCCAGTGGGTGACCACTCACACACGCGCGAAAATCACCTCAATGGAGACATCTCCGACGCGTAGCATCTCCTCACGCGAGGTGATTTGCGCGCGCGTTCGTGTGGTCACCCACTCGACTAAACTTGAGAAAAATGAGGAAAATGTCGCAGTTCATGGTGAAGAGGAATTGTTAGGGGAATTCTGACAAGATGCTGGCAGACCCACGACAGTAACTTGCATGTACAATGTAAGATATCGCTGACGGTATCGCCAGACGAGGAAAAGAAGTGCAGATCAAAAAACAAGCTAAAGGTTAAAATAAATTTTTCGCTTTACTGTATGCATACATGTAAAACGGCGGCTATGTGATCCAAGTAAATGTCATCTGAGTTTATATTACCTGGGTTGAAGTGTCTCGTAAAGCCCATGGTCAATAATCACTATTTCAGCTTTATTGTCTTTGCCTTTCCTTACAAGAACTACGATAGAGAGGAAAATTAAGCTTAGTAAACGCAGGACATGGAAGAGGCAACAACAGCAAGAGCAAAAAATAACAGCAGCAGTTGACAACAACAACTGCAGCATGTCAAACTAGAAAATAACACATCAGGTCGGAGTTGTTCAAAGTCGCGCGATAATAAACAGTTATCACTGAACTTCATGTTTGATTGCTATTGATTTATTGGGTGCCCATGTAAGAGATGAACACAGGGTTAATGTTGTTGGGTTAAAACTGTGATTCTTGCTAAACTTTCAAACCTGGATTCGACGTCACGTGGCAAAATAAAGTGTTGCCTTTTTCCCAGTTCTCGCTATCTTCTTCTTGCATTTCCCGCCCTCTTGTCTCCTGCATCCCGTAGAGTTCCNAATGGGTGCCGTACTGCCGGGTAGACTAAAAGTATAGTCCCTCACTTGTCTGAGGGCTAGTCCAGTGGGTAACCAATCGCACACGCGCGAAAATCACCTCAGACAAGGAGACATCTCCGACGCGTAGCATCTCCTCACGCGAGGCGATTTGCGCGCGCGTTCGCGTGGTCCCCCACTCGACTAAACTTGAGAAAAATGAGGAAAATGTCGCAGTTCATGGTGAAGAGGAATTGTTACGGGAATTCTGACAAGATGCTGGCAAACCCATGATGGTTTCTTGCACGTGTAATGTAAGATATCGCTGACGGTATCGCCAGACGAGGAAAAGAAGTGCAGATCAAAAAAACAAGCTAAAGGTCAAAATAAATTTTTCGCTTTATGCATGAAACGGCGGCTATGTGATCCAAGTAAATGTCATCTGAGTTTATATCACCTGTGTTGAAGTGTCTCGTAAAGCCCATGGTCAATAATCACTATTTCAGCTTTATTGTCTTTGCCTTTCCTTACAAGAACTACGATAGAGAGGAAAATTAAGCTTAGTAAACGCAGGACATGGAAGAGACAACAACAGCAAGAGCAAAAAAATAACATCAGTAGTTGACAACAACAACTGCAGCATGTCAAACTAGAAAATATGACACATCAGGTCGGAGTTGTTCAAAGCCGCGCGATACTAAACAGTTATCACTGAACTTCATGTTTGACTTGCTATAAATTTATTGGGTGCCCATGCAAGAGATGAACACAGGGTTAATGTTATTGGGTTAAAACTGTGATTCTTGGTAAACTTTCAAACCTGGATTCGACGTCACGTGGCAAAATAAAGTGTTGCCTTTTTCCCAGTTCTCGCTATCTTCTTCTTGCATTTCCCGCCCTCTTGTCTCCTGCATCCCGTAGAGTTCCCACCCCCTTTACTCCG